TTGCAGCTACCTCGTGCAGGGCAAGCCACGCATACCCCTGTTTATTTCTGCGAGACACGGACACTGGCAATTGTTAAGAAAACATGTCCTACAATTATGCACCCCCGGCCACTCCTACATTTACCAAGCGCGGGGAGTGAAAAGTGTCGGAGCTCCGACACATGTTTGGTCAGTCCCCGACGATTCGTACCCCCGATTTGTAACCCCGCCTCGTAATGCCTAGCACAACTCGAAAGTCTCGGCGCTAGGTGATCTCTCACCTCTTTCTTTCACGAGGGTAAAAGGACAAGAAGCGACCCTCCCCTCCGCTTGCTTGCTTGCTATCCACTTCAGGAGAACGCATCAGGAAGCACGCTCCCCCACGCGGGCACGCGCAGCCGGGTCCTTTGTCTTCCAAGCGTCTCAGGTCCTTGACCCCTCGGCTTAGTTTGAACAGGCGTAAGGGTCAAAATCCCCCGGATCGACAGAACAGCAGAGGTAAAAAATACATTTGCCCTCAGGAATCATCCCCTCAGCATTTTACAGATTGTTCCCCCCTTTTTGGGAAGTTCCCCCTGCAGTGCACTGAAGCTTTACGGGTCACGTTTGAAAGGAAAAAAGGAAGCAACAAGGCAGAACGTAATGAGGCCTGGAATCTCCCGAAGCTTCAGGGTCACTTTACAGTACTCTTGGGTGCTCCGTGTTAGAGGTCCCTCTGTGCCGGGCGAGTGTGTTGAAGCTTCGTGGGTCTTTCGCCTGACAGTAACAGACAGCACTTCAGGAAGTACAAGCAAACTTAAGAAGGAGATCCCCCACTGACTTCAAACATCTTTGTCACACAGACAAAGTTGTGGTGTGCCTTCTGTCTCAATCAAGCTCTGTCCTTCTCTCTCCCCACTGCCTCTGCGTCCTCGTCGTGCACCAAGGAAGAACAGCAAAATGTGGCACACAGTCACACCCTAGTCTGAACTTTTTTCTCTACCAAGCAGCTGCAGATCTTCAGGTAATGAAGTCCGGTTCCAGCCAGGGCGGCCTTGGCGAGCAGAGCATATCCCCCAAAAACACACACGTCATGGTGTCGGGCATGAGCCCGGAATACTCGGGACCCAGTCCGGAGAGATGAAGCAAACGCCTTTCGGCCTACCCCTTCAAGGTGGAGGATGCAAGCCTGCATTCTGTGCTACGGTGCTGCAGGCGACGTGTCGGGGCACACGGGTTTCTGCTCTCTTGTGCATGCGCTCGCATGATGTTCTCGTATCAACTTGTGATACTGACAATGGCCTGAGGGGCTAGCGGGAAAGATTTTCGGGGCTCAGACACAATGCTTGACACTATGGCACTATGCCGTTGACAATCGTCATGCTCTGGATGTGGAAGCATGCACGACTCAGAAGCAGCCGTGCCAACATGAACTTCCGTCGTTGTGTTGTTCCAAGCTGCCTCTATTCTGTGCTCCAGCTCAGATTGCCTCTCTTCATGGCCGTCGGTGTTCATGAGCACAGACATTGGCCCAAGTTCCACGAGCTCCTAGTCATGTCACAAAGAGGCATCTGAGTCCAGCATGATGCATGCGGCATGCCTACGCTGGAGTCCTGAATACCAACGATGTAGATGTCAGCTTGCTTCCCGCCCGAGAAAAGCCAGGGTCGAATGTCATCTTCCGGATCAACGGCACAACCGTGAAGGTTCCAGGTACAAACTCGAACGCTGACTGCACCTTGCAATGACCGCGCACGATCTGCATTGCAAACTTGTGAAGCTGCTGATAGGCTGTGACAATACTTGACTTGGGCTGGCTTCATGCTCTAGCCTCAAACATTTCAAGTCATGTCTCTGCTCGGCAAATCATGTCTCGAAGGTTGCTTCTGGAATCGTCCGTGTGTGGGCTGCGAGGAGCTTGCCGTGCTTTGCATCTGTCGGTCGACCGCTGCACGGACCTGAGAAACTCCTGAGAGACACAGCCGGAGTGACCATACAGCTGTGTTCGCAGTTGCTTGACGAAGTAGATTCCAGGTCCTTCTCGCAATCCTCTCTCGGCATGATTTTTGGCCACATCGACTGCCTGTCGAGGTGCGCGCAGAGATGTTCTCTCGCATCCCATCTGCAGAAGGAGGCTTCTGCCGCAGCGCTGACACGCCCCATGCACAGCATCGGGCATGCAATCAGTCGCAAACAATGCCGTTTCGTCTAGTCTGGAATAGAAAAACACCGCCTGCAGAAACTTGTTGCCAGCACGTTGAATTGTCCCTGTCTGCCCTTCAGACAGACCCAGAACTCCTGTCCAGTTCGACCACGCGCTGTAGCCTCCTTAGACAAAGCAGCCGACGCAAGAGACACACACACACACACTCTGCCTCTGGAGCCTGCATCTGAGCCAGCCATGCAGTGTCCCCGGCGCTCGCGTTCAGACTTTGCTTTTAACCTACGTTCTATAGCTGCAAGGTCAGCTTGTCTGTTGGAGTCGTGCTGCGGCAAGGATACAACCCGTATCTCCCTCACCCCGCTAAGCGCATGTACTGCCAACACGATGTACGTGCGCTGTGCTGTGGAGCTGGGCCAAATGACGGAGCTACAACTGAGAGCTACGACGAAGCAGCTCCATGCCAAGCAGACCGTGAAGAGTGCCTTCTCCTCCCCGAGCATTCTCCCGAATGACCTGTGCTCGAAACCCCAAAACTTCAGGAACGCTGTGCCGCTCTCTGCCGCTCTGCGCCGCTCTGTGCCGCTCTGCACATGGTCAAACCTGCCAGCCGCACTGTGCCTGTTGAGTCAATAATCACCAGCCGCGGAGCCTCACATGATGCGGGAACCCCACAGAGTCTGTGCATGTACCACAAAAAACAATCCTGCCTCGGTCACACAAAAAGTCGTGAACAGCTTGACAATGGCTTCTCTGTTTTTTAACCTCATGCATGTTTGCAGAACGCAAACTCGACCAATGCAAACCAGCTCCGGTGACCTGGGAACGATGGAAACCCGTATGCACATGAAGCCTGCCATGTGCCACCTGTGCCTGGCAATAGTAGGTGCACGCCCCGGACCGTGGTTTTCTGTCTGTGGAAACCGATTTGAGGAGGAGCGACTTAGCGATCCCTTTCTAGTCTGTCGAACTTGTCCAGGAGAGGATCCTTGAGCGTCATAGCCGAGGCTTCGTCGGCCAATGCTGTCCGCTCTGACCCTGTGGCTGCTTGTGCTCGCTCCAGCAGAGACGCAACCTTGAGCGCTTCACCTTCAAGCCTTTGAACAGCTGCTTCAACGGCAGCAACTCGTTCCAAAGCCTTCTGTAACTCGTCCTTTGACGATGCCAACCGCTGTTGCAAGGGCACCTTCCTCTCCAAGATTGCACGAGCTCCATCCTCATCCCCATTCTGCAAAGCTGCCATGGCTTCCTTAGACAGCTTCTCCACATCACCCTCCATTCTCACAATGCGAGTGGCCAAGTCATCCTTCACGGAGATCACACGTTTCTTGTCCTCAATCGCATCCGCTAAATTCTTGGCCACTGTTCGTGCGAGATTTATCATATCTGCATCCAGCCCCAGTGCATCCGCCGAAGTCTGATCTGTGTTCTGCCGACCCAAGTCTGCACCAAGACTTGCACCGAAAACAGCACCAAACGGGCCTAACAACAGCCCGCCGAGTACAGATCCACCAACAGCACCCACCAAAGAGCCTTCTGCGGACTCCTCATTTGGTACCTTGGAAGGCACGCGGCTCACACGATTCAATCGCTCGAAGGTATCACCTTCTGCTCGACGGCACACGCGGCCATGCGTCGGTCGTGGAGCCGTTCCCAACCATACTGTACCATTAATAACGTAGCAAAGCAAGCCAAGAGCAACAGTCCGCTGTCTTGAGACCCGGTCAAGGCATGGCATTTCGGCCGACCCGGAGTTGTCAAAGAAAACTCATGGTCACGGCTGACCTACGCCTGATATGTAGGCGACTGTGCGAAGCTACAAGAGATTTGCCTCTTAGATTCGGGACTGGAGGTGGTACATTGAGGCTGGCTCGTAGCAATTGGGCGACAGTAGGAGCACACGTCTAGTAGAACAAGACCAATTGCAGCAATTACAACATCCCTCAGCCGCGTCGAACATCTAGTCTGCTCTGAGGCTCGAGCGGGAGAGACATCCATGGCATTTTGGCCATGTGAAGTTGCCACATGTTCTGCCACGATACTGGGTTCATGTAATGACATGCACTGCTGGACACTGCTCGAGCATACGGCCTCGTCGGTATCCAGCGGAATAAGAACAACTTCAAAAGAGCTTGCACCTCAGCTATTGCGTCGGCTGAACCTCCTCGCCAACTCTTGTCAAGCTTCTGCTTTGCGTCCAGCAAAGACATGGAATGACACAAGTCATGCATGCTCATGAAGGCAAGACATCACAAAAATCTCGGACAAGCGCCATGGGTGTCACGAATTTGCTTGTAAGCCTGCACCAATATCGGCGCGAAGTAATGGCAAGGCGGACACCTGCAACAATCGACTCATCTTCTGTCTCTTAGCACAGAAGCTCACGCAGGGGTGCCAGGAAGCCGAGAAGTATAAGCCGATCAGCGTTGATGCCAATGCTTGTGGACCAGCCTCTCGGGTACGTGTTGCAGCGTCCGAACTGCGTGAGCATCAGCAACATACTCAGACCCTGGCATGTTCGCCTGTGTCACACCGAATCAGATCCCGCAACCTGTGAAACTTGCATAAGTGTACATTGCTTATCGCAGACGAACACGAGGACGCATAGGTTTCTCAGGTGTAGTCCATGTCAAGTTGGGAGACGAAGAAATCCTCCGCTGCAATGCTTTCGTAGCTGCACTTTGGTCTGCTGAAGTTTGACCTTATCAGTGACGCAGTGCCGGTCTAAGGTCCACCGACGCAGCAAACACGTCTGCATGTCTTCTGCGGTTGAGCCTGGGGCTCATTCCAAAGCCAGCTGCATGTTTCATGCAACAACAATACTCTCATCACATCGCGGCAGGTCCAACAAGGAGACACTTAAGGATTTTGTGGGCAAGGTTGAAATGTTTGCCTGCAAAGGCATGACTCGGCCTCTACGGCTCAAAAAACAACATCATGACAATGGTACTTATGTTTCGCAACCGAATGCCTTTGCATGGCGCCAACGTTTGGCGAACGTTGAACATGCATGCAGCAAGATGGTAGTTCAAAAACACCTTGGAACGTCACGATATTTGGCACCTGCTCAACTGTATATTGACGTTTCGGATATTGGCAGACTAATGTCAAAACGGACCCAAAGCCGATCCTAGGCGGGATGTGCATCGCCGATGATAAGAGTGATCGCCAGGATGATAAATCTTGACGCGCTGATGACGAAAATGAGGGTCATCACTGCCTGGATTGCATGAATATGCGAAAACGGCTTTGTTCGACGACGATGAAAACAAATTTCCATATGTTTGTTTCGCCGCCGCCGCCCGGGGCGCGAGAGAGCGAAAAACAAATGTATGTCACTTTCACTAAGACCTATGTGATTTTGGTTTCGCCGCCCTTCCGAAATGACCTATATTTTTGTGTGGTGTTACAGTGTTGCCGCCGTCAGGTTATTTTCAATATGACCAATATGTATTTTTTGGTATCGCCGCCGCCGCCGCCCGGGCGAGCGAAATAAATGTAGGTCATATTCAAAACGACCTATGTTTTCCTTTGGTTTCGCAGCCACCCAGGAGAGCGAAAAAAATATAGGTCATTTTCAAAATGACCTATATTTTTATTTGGTTTCGCCGCCGCCCGAGAGAGCGAAAAAAATATAGGGACCTATATTTTTCTTTGGTTTTGCCGCCGCCGCCCGAGAACAGAAAAATGCAGCAAACAAATATGAGGCAGCAGCAAAAATATGCAAAAAAATATGAGGCCGCAAAAAAATTAGCAAAAACATGTGATGCAGCCAAAAAATAGCAAAAAAATATGAGGCAGGAAAAAAATAGCAAAAAACATAATATGAGGCAGCAAAACCAAGTATAGGTCATTTCCGAGATGACCTATACTGTATACTTTATAACCCGAATCTGCATGATGGGCATTCACTAAAAAACAGTGCTTTCGGGCTTGTTTTTAAATTGAAAATGACCTGTCGGCGGCAAAACCACACAAAAATATAGGTCATTTCGGAAGGGCGGCGAAACCAAAATCATGTAATTTGTTTTTCGCTATCTCGGGCCCCGCGGCGGCGAAACAACAGAATGTAGGTCATTTCGGAAACTACTATCATATTTTACAGCTGACTTTTTCCTGGGCACGCTGCGGCAAAACAAACATGTAGATCATTTCGGAAATGACGTAGATTTTTTGCTTGGGGGCAGCAGTAAAACACAAAACTGTAAAAATGTCATTTCGAAAATGAGATGGTTTTTTTCTTGTATTCTTGGGCGGCGGCGGCGGCGAAACAGCTTTGCTTTTGTGAACTGTCGGCACCGCCTGGGAAAAACGAGAAAGCTCCTCGTGTTTTTTTCTGTTGTGGTGCCGTCCTCGTTGTTGCGGATGTCAGGCACGGTGCTCCTCTGGCCAAAGGAGACCAAGTTTGCGGCTTTTGTCGCTGCGTTTTGTCCCGGGCCGTCTGTATCTCAGTTTCTTCGTTGCTGTTTCGTGACGCTGTTTTGCTGTGGTCTCACCAGGCCGCTGCTGGCAAGCCACGGCAGAGCTGCCCGCTGAGTCCGGCAGCGAGCGCGGCTGAAGGGTTTAGGGTTTGCTTGCGTTTCCTGGTGACAGGAAGAAGAGCATTGTTACAGAGCCTGCGTGGGACAGCGGAGATGAGGCGAGCGGTTGGAAATCGCCAGCCAGTCACCCCGCCCAAGCATCCAATCATGGAGCAAAGGGCAGCCGAGGATGTGGAGCAGACGGCAGCCAGGAGGTGCAGCAGACGGCATCCGAGGAGGTGGAGCACAGGACGGCCGAGAATGTGGAGGACGGGGTGCCAGAAGCCTTGGATCAGAGGGCCGAGAAGGCTGCAAAGGGCCGGGCCAAGGCTCTCCTGGAGTCTCTTGTTTCGGAAGCAGAAAGGCAGGAGGAGCAAGCTCATCAGCGTCATCGTCCTTATTCTGCTGTCGAGGGGGCCCGGGCCCGTCACGTCTCGGGTTCCTTTCGGTTCGAGACATACAGGCTTTAAAAGCAGCTGCCGCGGCCAAGGCCAAGGGTTCGCCGAAGTTGCCCCCACCGCCGAGGGCACCGCCAATGGTGGTGGAGAATACGCCGCCGCCTCCGCCTGTTCCACACCGGTTTCATCCTTACCCACAGGTGGTACCTTGCGTGCCGGTGTTTCCACCAATGGCTATGCCAGCTCGCCCTACACCGCGGCCGACGACTGCGTTCAAAAGTGCCCCGACCGACGATGGCGCTGTGGGTGGCGAAGTCGGTGGCGCAAATACGGTGTCTACGGCGAGTCCATCGCCATCCTCAGCTCCTCCGGAGCAACCGGCACCAACGATTATACCCATGGCTTTGTGGAAGACGTCAGGTCGCCATGGGCCGCCTCGTCCTGCACCACGGCCACCGAGCTATGTCATGTGTTGGTGACTGCGGCACTCGACGCCGGCGGCGTCTACAACAACGGTGCCATCACCAAAGACTCCGCCAGCTCTCCTAGCTGGTGGGCCGGCATGGCATGGATGCCATAGTGGCTCGCAAGCTTAGTCAACCAGGCTTCACCTGAAGTGCAAAACTCGACCATCACAATGTGATGCGGTGTTCGCAACGTCCAACCAACAAGGTCCAGGGGTCGTCAGCGCTCGCAGAAAAGAGACCCTTTAACACCGCAAACAACAAACAACCGACCGACAACGTGTCACCGCTAAGAAAGGCACTGCGGCTGAGACGTTCCGCAAGTCCAAGCTGTGCATTATGGTACCAAGTTTGCGTAGCACTAAGGTTCTTAGTCTGCAAGTCGGCTACATTGTCGGTTCCCGGCACATGCTGATCTGCCCATTCTCTACCTTGTCTTGCAAAAAGCTTCTTTCTTTCCACCGCTGCGAAGGAAGTTCGCACTGCGTTTCAGTTGTGACAGCTTTTGCCGTCGGCTGCACGAGACAGCGCCTTTACTGCTTCAGCAAAGGAAAAAAGTCAAACTAAGCTAAGTTGAGCAAAAAGTTGGAACAGAGCTGAGCGACCCTACGCTAAGCCAGCTAAAGGCAGTGTTTGCGAACTGCCACTGGCCCGTAGGCCCTAGCTGGCAAGCTCAGCTTCGGATGGCGAAAAACAAGTACGAGTTACGCCAAAAACCAAAAACCAGAAACAGCATCAAAACTAGCAACACAAGATCGAACATTATCATCCGTAGCATGCCAGCAGCCTTCACTGTCACCAAAAATGCCCGATAGCGTCCATTGTTTGGTGTCTCACCGAGTGAGCAATAGCCGCTACAACACGATAAGCAACCCTACCCTGGATCACAAAGCACAGACCACCCGACCACCTCTGCCACACTCTCAATGGACTCTCGGATTTCGATCTTTTTGATGCGACCTATCTAGACCCTAGGCTTCGCTTCGAGTCTGCAGCATTGACTGGAAGTCTGAAGATGCCCCAAAGCTGTATCCACTGCAGACTAAATATTTTGGCCCTTGCATCAAGAAGCCGAAGTGGAATGAACTCAATACGGCTTCATACGCACATGCGCCGGACTGCAACTCCAACTATTAGGAGTGGCTCGACAGCCGGCATGCAAGCGTAGAAGCTTCGACTTCAGTCCATTTGCTAGAAGACATTATCGTCTAGTAGATCGATAGCCTCTTTTGGCAACTTCTCGGCCAATAACGAACCTTCTACGTGTCACTTGTCTAAGTCTGAATGAAGATCTAACCCTATCAGTATCTCAGCCTCGTTCTGTCTGTGATTCGACTCAAAATCTCTCTGTGTACTGAAGCAAAATTGGAACAGGACATGTTGGATCATAGTACTGCCACAATTCTTGCTGGGATTGCTTTTTCTTTCGCTTTCTTCATTTCTCACTGATTTTTTGTTTTCGGTTGTTTTTTTGCCATTTTGGGGCTCATGGCCCCAGGGGCTCTGGGACCACTCGCACTTCCGTGAGCTTCCATGAGCTTCCGTGAACTTCCGTGAACTTCCGTGAGCTTCCGTGAGCCTCCGTGAGGTGCAACCTCCGTGCGGGTAACCTGTACTTCCGTGAACTTCCGTGACGCCCCTGGAACCTCCGTGAACTTCCGTGAGCTTCCGTGAGCCTCCGTGCTGGCTCCCAATGAACCCAAACGACCCCAAATTCGCAGAAATGCTGCATTTGTTGGGAATTCAAACTTTCCAAAATTTTTGAACAAAAACCAAAAAATTAAAGGACACAAGCAAAAAGCAATCCCAAGGGATTTTTGGCTCTGCCAAGCAGGGCTGCACTATGTAGAAGTGAATCATGTTGCTGGACTTGCATGGACTTGTTGAAAATCGTGCTCATGAAGACATCATTCATTCAACATTCAGTCTTCATTCAGTCAGAGCACATCATCATCATCAACAGCAACACATCATCACATCATCACGTCAGCATCATCATCATCATCGACGGGGGTGGGCCCCAGACCTTCGTCGAAGGGGGGGCTTAAGGGGGGCTTCAAGGGGGGCTTAAGGGGGGCTTGAAGGGGGGGCTTAAGGGTC